GCTTTCTCACTTCCCCTTTCTCTCTGGTCAATTAAAAAATAATAATAACAAATGGAATTAAATAAAAATAATCCTTTAGGAAATATTGTTTAAACAAAATAAATTTGATATCCACATTGGATACTACCTTTGCTACATAATATTGTTGGCAATAAGTTACTCCTGTAATGCTTTTTTTAAAAACAAATTTTGGATAGTAATAAATTTGCAAGGTTAACATTGGAATGAAGGGGTCAGCTGCTGCCATGGCGATTAAGGTGTCTGGATCCCACATGGCCAACTGCATAGTTCAGACTTGGCAACTTGAGAAACATATTGGGCATGTGTGTATGTGTGCCCAGAATCCTGACACAAGGTTTGTTTGTTTGTCTTTTAAAGTCCTTGTTTCAGTTAAAAAATTTTTTTAAACCTTAAAATATTATGTGAACAGAGGCTGGCAGGTGGCATGGTGGTTAAAGGCACTGGATTCCCATAGGGCCACAGTTTGAGTCCTGAACCTAGCAGCTTGCTTTCTCACTTCCCCTTTCTCTCTGGTCAATTAAAAAATAATAATAACAAATGGAATTAAATAAAAATAATCCTTTAGGAAATATTGTTTAAACAAAATAAATTTGATATCCACATTGGATACTACCTTTGCTACATAATATTGTTGGCAATAAGTTACTCCTGTAATGCTTTTTTTAAAAACAAATTTTGGATAGTAATAAATTTGCAAGGTTAACATTGGAATGAAGGGGTCAGCTGCTGCCATGGCGATTAAGGTGTCTGGATCCCACATGGCCAACTGCATAGTTCAGACTTGGCAACTTGAGAAACATATTGGGCATGTGTGTATGTGTGCCCAGAATCCTGAAAGGAAAAATGGAGAAGGAAGGATTGTGGTGTGACTGTTCCCTTTGGGACACTTTCACACTTTTCCATTCTGTGTCTCTTTGGTGAGCATACATGTCCTCTAGCCAAAAAAAAGAGGAAAACAAAGTGTAAAGGACTATAGAGTAAAAGTGTTCTAGTTCTGTATCCTATTTACAGATAATAGTGCATAAGTTTTAAATTCCTTCTAGATATTTATGTATATACAAACAAGTACCTACATATTTTCACTCCCTCCCTTTTTAGTGAAATGGTAGCATCTAATACATACTTTGCTTTCTCATTTAAAAATATGTCTTAGAAAAAAAAAATGTCTTAGAGTTCTTCCCATATCAGTGCATAGAATACTTTTTTTTTTTTTTTACAGTAGTCCATTCTATTGATCAATTAGAATTGAACCTGTCTATTGTTGGTAGACATACAGGTTATTTTATGTCTTTTGCTATAGCAATTTTTTTTTTTTAAAGAGATTTTTGCTATAGGGTGCATATACTCACTGAAGAAACAAAGAGAGACAGTGAGAAATCACCACCACCACCCCTGGGGAGATGGCCACACCAAAATCCCTTCTCCTCTATTCTCCTCTTGGGATCTTGGGCACACACGCACATGTGCCCATTGTGAGGTTTAAACCGCTGGGTCCAGGACTCAAACCATGGTCAACAATGTGGGAATCCAGGGAACCAGCAGTTAGCGTAATGGCTATGTCGCTGGACTCCCACATAGTCGACCATGCTTCACGTCCTGGACCCAGTGGCTTAAAACTCATGCCAGGCACGTGTGTGTGCGTGCCCAAGATCCCGAGAGGAGAATGGAGGAGAAGGGATTGCGGCGTGACCATCCCCCCTGGGGAGTGATTTCTCGCTTTCTGTCTCTCTGTCTCTCTCTGTCTGTCTGGCGAGCGCACGCGCCCTACAGTGAAAATCTCTCAAAAAAAACAAAAAAAAAACAAAAAAAAACCAAAAAACAAAAAACAATGTGGGAGTCCAGTAATGTAACCATTACCATCTGCTGGTCTCCCTATAGCAAATTTTTAAAAACGTAATAATTAATGGGCCCAGCAGGTGGCGTGGTGGTTAAGGGCACTGGACTCCCACATGACTGACCTCGGTTTGAGTCTAGGACCTGGTGGCTTGCTTTCTCTCTCCCATCCTCCCCAACTCTCTCTGGTCAAATTAAAATAAAGAAATAAAGTTAAGTAAAATAATTTTTTTTTGGAGAGGTTTTTGCTATAGGGCGTGTGCACTCACCAGAAAGAGAGAGAGAGACAGAAAGCAAGAAATTATCCCCCCGGGGGGATGGCCACGCTGCAATCCCTTCTCCTCCATTCTCCTCTCAGGATCTTGGGCATGCATGTACATGTGCCTGGCGTGAGTTTAAGCCACTGGATCCGGGACTTGAACTACAGTCGACTACATGGGAGTCCAGTGACATAGCCATTAGGCCAACTGCTGTGGTCAGCCACACGTGTAGGAGTCCAGTGCCTTTAACCACCACAGCACCTGCTGGCCCCCAAAGAAATAATTTTTTAAAGAAATAAAAAAGAAATTGAGCTGACCAGCCAGTGGTACGGTGGTTAAGGCAGCCGGATCCCATGTGGCTGACTCTCTGGTTTGAGTCCTAGATCTGGCAGCTTGAAAAACATGCCAGTGTCTGTGCATAGACCCAAAATCCTGAGAGAATGGAGGGGAAGGGATTGAGAGGTATGGCCATCTCCCTAGGGGAGAGATTTCCTCCCTCCCCAGTTTTCTCTGGCCAGTGCACCTGTCCTAGAGGAGACCTGGGTTTGAGTCCCAATCCAGTGCAAAGGCTGAGTGTGGTGGCATGAGCCTGTAAATACAGTGACATGGGGATAGGGATGGAGGCACATGTACGTGAAGATGACCTTGGCAATATAGCAAGACCTTTCTAAAAAAGAAAAAGAAAGCACTTGGGGACCAGCAGGTGGCATGGTGATTAAGGCACTTGATATTCTCACATGGCTGACTGCAGTTCGAGTCTCGCACCTGAAGGCTTCCTTTCTCACTTTCCCTCTCTCTGGTCAGGTTAAAAATAAAAATGAGGGACCAGCAGTTAGCATAATGGCTATGTCGCTGGACTCCCACGTAGTCGACCGCAGTTCGCTTCCTGGACCCGGTGGCTTAAAACTCACGCCGGGCGTGTGTGCGTGCGTGCCCAAGATCTCGAGAGGAGAAGGGATTGTGGTGTGGCCATCCCCCCTGGGGGGTGATTTCTCACTTTCTGTCTCTCTGTCTCTGTCTGGCAAGCACACGTGCCCTATGGCAAAAAAAAAAAAAAAAAAAAAGAATGGGGGCCAGCAGGTGGCATGGTGGTTGAGGGCACTGGACTCCCACATGGCCGACCACAGTTTGAGTCTCAGACCTGGCTGTTTGCTTTCTCGCTCGCTCGCTCTCTCTCTCTCTGGTCAAATTTAAATAAACAAACAAACATAAATAAAATTAAATGATTTTAAAAAATGAATAAATAAAATTCAATAAATCTTTAAAAAAAGAAAGCACTGTAGTCCCAGCTGGAGGGTTGAGGCAAAAAGATTGCAGCATGACATGACCCTGTGTTTGAAAATAAAATATGTGCATGTTTGTATTTAAACTCTTTTCTGATTAGAAACATTTTATTCATTCCAGCAGGTGGCATGGTGGTTGAGGTGGTAGACCTCCCACGTGGCCAGCCATAGTTTGAGTCCCAGACCTGGCAGCTTGCTTTCTCACTTACCCTTTCTCTCTCTCTGGTCCAATTAAAAAATAATAATAACAGATAAATAAATCTTTAAAAAAATAGAAAAATTTTATTCTATCATAGAAAATTTTAAATAAAATAATTATATGGAACAGACTTTTGTCTATGGATATAGTTATTTTTATAACATTGGGATCATTACTGTTGATACACTTTTTTTATTTTGTTAGAAGGCACATGCACTTGCCAGTGAGAGAGAGAAGGATGGAGAAAGCATCTCCTCCAGTGGGGCATGGTAACGCTACAATGCCTTCTCTTAATCCTGTCAGGATTGAGGCACATACAAACACACATGTGCCTAGCATGTTTCTCAAGCCCCTGAGGCCAGGATTTGAACCGTGGTTGGCCCTGTGGGATCTGGCTCACTTAACCACTAGGCTTTGATACCAGTTCTGGTGTATTATTTTATTTACCGTATTACTGATTTTTAAAATATGTCTGAATTCAAATAATTTCTTACAAAGTGAATCTCTAAATTTATGTCAGTCATGTATCATTTCATGTTTTGTCTTTGTTAAAATTATCCAACATGGGCTAGTCCATGCCCTGGTGGTGAGCCCCCAACCCAGTGGCTTGAGAAATACATTGGGTACCTGTGCGTACATGCCCACAATATCCCAGAAAGGAAGGAGAGATGGAGGGAGGGACTGTGGCATGACCATTTCCCATGGCGGATGCTTTGTGCTCTTCCTTTCTCTCTCTCTGTTTGGTGACTGTTCACAACTGTAGCGCACACCTCAAACCAAAACAAACAAAAACTATGAGAGAAGGTAGTTTGGATGTCGCAGACAGAACTAACATATGGTGGTACTTTTTTTTTTTTTTTAAAAGAGGTTTTTGCTATAGGGTGCGTGTGCTCGCCAGACAGACAGAGACAGAGAGAAAGCGAGAAATCCCCCCCCACGAGGGGGGATGGCCACGCCGCAATCCCTTCTCCTCCATTCTCCTCTTGGGATCTTGGGCATGCATGCACATGCGCCTGGTGTGAGTTTTAAGCCACCGGGTCCGGGACTCGAACTGCAGTCGACTATGTGGGAGTCCAGCGACATAGCCATTACACTAACTGCTAGTCCCTGGTGGTACTTCTGATGTGTATTGCTAGTTTCTATTTCAGCAGATACTAGAAATGGTAAAAGGAATCTTGTGAAGAAGAGTCTTTCTGAACTTAGGTTTCCTTTGGGAAGAATTGAGCAAAACATTCAGCTGAGTGATCAGTATGTTAAGTGTAAATCAAGAAATAAAAAAGACTGATTAATTTTACAAAATAGGGAGAAAAATTAGTGTTAATGTAGTTGGAAAATGGGAAGAAGGCATAAGGCTGGACATCCTGGAAATACTTAAATTAACATCACTTTACATTATTGCACTAGGACCCAGTACCACGACAGAAACAGAAACAATCGCCAAATATGAAATAATGGATGGTGCCCCAGTAAAAGGTAATACACTTTTCAGTTGTTTCTCCGCGTCGTGCATGAGAAAAGTATGACATAAAAATATTTAAAAGAGAATATGCACATAATTCCCTATCTTGGGAAAGTCGTAGAAGTCAGTAAAGGAATGCCATCATTCTGTAGATGTGTGTTGCTCTGGATGAATTGGAAATAAGTATTCAAGAATTTATATACATGAATAGAAATTGTAAATTTCACGAAAGCAGAAAATAACAAAACTACTTATTTGTTGGCACAAGTGTAATAAGCTCTTTACATATATTAATCCATGTAGTCCTTAGAAATTCCCTGTAAGATGCATATTATTGTTGTTATTCCCTGTTGCACAGATGAGGAACTTAGAACAGAATGGGTACGTGACTTGGCCACACCAGCATAGCAAGTGGTGGAGTTACTGAATCCAGACATTCTGGCTTAATAGCAGTGGTTCTTAGCTAGAGGCAGCTTTGCCCTCCAAGTGACCTTGGGCATTGTCTGGAGACATTTTTTGCTGTCATATTTGCAGAGTGCTACTGGTATTTAGAGGGAAGGCCTGGGATGCTGCTGAATATACTACACTACAGTGTGGAGATGCTTTTCCACAGCAAAGAATTATTTAGCCCAAAATGTCAGCAACGTTGAGGCTGAGAATCCCTAGTCTTTCTAATGCCGCATCTTAGGGAAACTGAAGTAATGTCTGCTCTCTAATGCTTAGTCCTAGGTGTTATATGTGACTATTTAATCCTCTTTTAGAATGAAATAAAAATTGCTTTTTGTTCCAGGTGAATCAATTCCAATAAGATTATTTTTAGCAGGATATGATCCAACTCCAACAATGAGAGATGTGAACAAAAAATTTTCAGTAAGGTACTTTTTGAATCTAGTACTTGTTGATGAGGAAGACAGAAGATACTTCAAGCAGCAGGTATGGTGTCCCCCAGGCTGGGATCTTGTTCTGTGGCAGGTCTAAAACATAGAAAGCACTCCTTTTCTAAGCTTACTGAACTGTGAGTGGGAGTGTCTAAGTAAGGGAGAACACTGTGGCCTTGGTAAGCAGCAGGTGGAAATGAAACATGTGATAAATCCCTTCCAGATCATTCTGCAGGACTTCAGAATGAGCTATAATTTATCAGGGTTTTAATTTTCCCTTAAACATTTTCTTTCTTTTAAATACAACAATATCTGCTGTTTATTTTTAAAAGATTCAAGCAATAAAGAATAGAGAGTGAAGTAAAGATCAGCAAAAATTCTACCACTGGGGCCAGCTGGTGGCATGGTGGTTAAGGTGGGTGACTCTCACAGGGCCAATTCTGGTTCAAGTCCTGGACCTGGCTACCTTTACTTAATGGATTTTTGGGTTTTAATTTTATTAAACAGTTCTATTATAAATGCCCATGAAATAACCCAATTCTAGTATTTTTTTAATATAAACTATTCATCATAAAACTTGTTTCATTTCACAACCAATTAAAAGCCTTTGGTCAAGTTTGAATGGAGATTGTGATTAGAATGATCTTTTGATTCCTGAATCAGATTAGTAAATACCTGAATGTTATTTGAATACTTAAGTTAAAAAGTATGCAAGGTACTCTGAAGAATACAAAACTACCTTCTATAAAAATGATTAGTCCTCCATATGCTTGCATTGCATATAAAGAAAAATTATGCAGTTAACAGAAAATAGTACAAAATGTAGTCTAGTAATTATGCTGTAATGCCATGTATGTGAACATAGGTAATTTATAATTACAAAATAATTTATATGGTATTTATAATTTCAAAGATAGTTACTTATCATATCACTGTTGAAGTAAAGTATACTGTCTCCCATGAGCAGTCATTTGTATGTTTCAAGTTCTGATATCTTAGCTTAAAGAAAAGCAGGGCCAGCTCTGTGGCATAGCCATTAAATGCTGTGTATGGAAAGTAATAACAAATAATAAGTAAAGTTAAATAAAATAATTTTAAAAACCTAAAGGTCAGATCCCACATGGCAAATGCAGCGTGAATCCCAGCCTGGCTTGAAAATCATACCGGGCACATGAACATGTGTCTGAAATCCTGACAGATGGAGAAGTGAAGGAAAAAGGATTGTGGTGTGACCATACCCCATTGGGGGCTGCATTCTTCTGTGTCTCTGTAGTGAGAGCACAGACTCTCTAGCAATAAAAGGAGGAAAAAGGGGCCAGCAAGTGATGTGATAGTTAAGGTGCTAGACTCCCACACAACCAACCATAGTTCAAGTCCCAAACCCTATGGCTTAAAAATCATGCCAGGCATGTGTGCATACCTGCTCAAACTCCCAGGAGAATGGAGAGAAAGGATCATGGCGTGGCCATCCATCCCCACAAAAAGCGATTTCTCACTTAACTGCGCTCTCTCTCTGGCAAGTGCACACATCCTATTACAAAAACCTATAAATAAATAAATGGGGGAAACCCCATAGCTAGTCATGGCTTTAGTAAGTAAATAATTTTAAGACTTCAGAATAGAGAAGATCATAGGATGGATTGGTTAGGGTAAGATTTAGACAAAGTAATAGGGATTGAAGAGTATCGAAGGGAAGAGGTAGGTGCAGTTTATCTGGAGAGTTGGAGGCAGGGAAGGAAAGGAGTCATGTTGCTAAATTGGATAAAGATTATGCAGGGCCATGAAGACTGTTGGAGGCACTGGGAACTGCTAAATGCAATCTGAGCAGTATTTTAGATTAATCTGGCAGTGATAGAAAGGATGGATGAGAAAGTAGTCTTAGGTAAGAGAGGCAGCACCAACTACCAGGAGGTTTGTTTAGTATCTGAGGTTGAAATGACAGAAGCTTAAATGGAACAGAAACCAAAGAACATGCCAAGGACAGATCTTAGAAATTCAGGGTTTTTTTTTAGTTTTTGCCTTAGGGTGCATGTGCTCGCTGGATAAGAGACAATGTGAGAAATCACTCTCCAGGAAGGCTGCACACTACAATCCCTTCTCCTTTCTCCTCTTGGGATTTTGGGCACACAGGCACATGCACCCAGCATGTTTTCCAAGCCTCTGGGTCTGGGACTATAACCTTGCAGATTCAACATGTGGGATCTAGCTGCCTTAACCACCATTGCCACCAGCTGGCCACACATTTTAGGAAATTTTTTAAAGAATTATTTTATTATTTAACTTTATTTATTTACTTATTTTTTAATTTGACCACAGAGGGGGAAAGAGAGAGAAAGAAAAAGTAAGCCGCCAGGTCCGGAACTCGAATCACAATTGGCCAAGTGGAAGTCCAGTGCTCCTTCCTAACCACCACATCACCTGCTGGCCCCTTAGGAATTCTTTAAAGCAACAGTATCTAGGACTTTCAGTCTAACTGGATTCATGGTGGTAGGAGCCCGGGAGGCAGAAGGGGCAGTCTAGCTTTAGAACTCGAAGGAAGTGGGTCAGAAATGATGAAGTTTTGGGACCAGCAGTTAACGTAATGGCTATGTCGCTGGACTTCTATGTAGTCGACAGTGGTTCGCATCCTGGACCCGGTGGCTTAAAACTCATGCGTGTGTGCCCAAGATCCCGAGAGGAGAATGGAGAAGGGATTGTGGTGTGGCCATCCCCCCCTGGGGGGGTGATATCTCGCTCTCTTGTCTGTTTCTATCTGGCGAGCGCATGCGCCCTATAGCAAAAACCTCTCCAAAAAAAAAAAGAAAAAGAAATGAGGTATTTTTAGAGAAAAATTTAACTTGAATATGGTTAAAGTCAAACTGAGAATTGCTGTAGAATAAGACATGGTAGGTGTTAATTTACTGACGTCTTGCATTTGTTTTACTAGGAGATCATTTTATGGAGAAAAGCTCCAGAAAAACTGAGAAAACAAAGAACAAATTTTCACCAGCGATTTGAGTCTCCTGAATCACAAGCATCTGCTGAACAGCCTGAAATGTGAACTGAAAAGGAGGGGGAAAAAAAGACAAAAACACCTGTAACCATTATGATTAAGTTCAGCAAGTTAAAGATAGTTGCAGCATGTAGGGGAGAGAAAGGCCAAAATTCCATATATAATAGTCTTCCTTTATCTCACCAGTGCTGCATTTATTTTATGGGATAACTAAAGGTTCATGTATATATACATTTAAAAAGTGCTTTCTTTGAAACACTGGAAATTTCTTAAGCTGCCTTTTTTTTTTTACTGCACACTTTGATGATAAGCATTCAGATATGCACCAATATAAACATTAAAGATTTTCATGTGAGTAGGCTGGTATTTTTAATTTTGCTTTTTTGCATAATGTTAATTATAAATCCCTTTCCTCTCCCTTTTCATGCTAATGATTACCTCTTATTCTCTATATGCAAAAAATTATTTTGTGTTCAAATAAAATTAGTAAACCTGAGTGGCCCTTACATCCTACAGATATTTAAAACATGGCATCTCAGTATTTTTGAGAACTACATTTGTCTTTACATACGTCGTTGAGAAACACATGGAGTGTTTCACTGTAGGTGCTTCTGAGTCTATCAGTCCGTGGTTTCCTGAATTTTCTCCTCTTAGAAGCCATCTGTGGTATGAATATTAGGTTTTTTCTTCCAAGAGATTATGAAGCATGTCATTGTGGCCTTTTTTCCCCCTCATATTTAATAACCATTTGTCACTCTTTCTCAGCAGTAGCACTATATGTCTTCAGTGTGGAGTTTACCTATGTTGGCATTTAGGATTTATTAAAACTGTAAAAAAATTTTTTATAAATATTTTGAAATACACACACACACACACATACATATATTTCTATTTAAGGAATCTTTTGCCACATGTATGCAAACAATTTCTTGACCTCATAAATGTATTATCTTTTCAGGGTAAAATCTTGGGATGGGGGACTCAGAGGACCTAGGAAACATGTAGTTACCTGGATCTGGACAATTTCATGTTTATTAAACTGGAACTTCGGTTAGTTCAAACTCACATTTAAACTTTACCCAGTTTTGTTTTTAACACTAAATTGAAGTCATTTGTTCAGTCTCTAAAAAAGGTTGCAATCATCCGTTCATGTGCATGAGGTCTGATCTCAAATACACTAAATGTGGAGTGTTGGAGCCAAAATGAAGCCTGCTGTGTGGAAACTTTCACTTAGGATTCATTGGTTTTGTACCAGTATTTTATATACTTCAGCGCAGGTCTTGTCCGTAACCATATTTATGAGTAAGCTAAATAACCCAAATTATATTGCTTTAAATTTGTTTTACTATTGTGGCACTTTGATAAAATGGTCAGTAACCACCTTTACTGGCAGAAGATCCCATGTGCCATGTGCTGGAGCATTTATTTTAAATGTGGATATCTATGACCGGCAATGTTTTCCTTCATGTAAGTGCCTATTCGGAGTTTCAAAATTTCAAAATGCCAAATATTTTCATGGTCACTTGCATGTAGTAATCTAGAAAATATTCAGAGATTTTGAAAACCAGTTGTATTTAACCAGCCTCAATTGTACAACCATAATGTATAAATAAAGAATTTGAAACAGAAAACTGAGCTTGCTACTTGAATGAATGACATGGCTCTATTCCCAAATCTCTTCTCATTGTTAGATCTGGGAAGCTCTCACTGTGCCGATGAGGAGAACTCTATGAATGCCTGGAGAAGAAAACTTAGGTTGTACTGTCATAAAATTCAGACTGCACTTTACACCTGTATAGAGGCACAAACAAGATTATGTTTAAAGTAATTTTGAGGAAAAACTTATTTTTTGCAGAGCTGTATTAAATATGTAAGGCCGGTAACAACTTAATTCTAGCCCAATAATTAGTATGCTGCTACTGGCCCAAAAGCCCATATGGCTTGAGTAGTACTGTAAAAAATTAATGTAAAAGCTGTGATCCATGGATATAATTATGCACTAACTCCCCCTCTAGACTATTTTTTGCCATTGTTAGCATGTTGGGGTGGAAAGCACATTTGCTTTGAAGCCAGAAAGATTCAGATTAGTAGCTGACTCAACCACTTAACATTGGGGCAAGTTACTTTTCATTGAACCCTGTTAACTGGTGGTAATACCTCTAAAGGTGTCAGACATACTAAGAGATTAAAATGAATATCATAGCTCTTGCCTCAATTGTATGTTAAATGACTGTTTTACCCTTCAGTCTCTCATCTGTTGAATTATCCCTGTTTAATGCCATTTTCTATCATGTAAAGGTCACTGACTAAAATTAAGGATTCTTGGGACCAGCAGTTGGCATAATGGCTATGTTGCTGGACTCCTATGTAGCCAACTGCGGTTCGAGTCCCAGACTGGTGGCTTAAACTCCACTGGGCACATACGTGCCCAAGATCCCGAGAGAATACAGAAGGGATTGCGGCGTAGCCATCCCCCCAGGGAGTGATTTCTTTCTGTCTTTCTGTTTCTGGTGAGCGCATGCGCCCTCTCCAAAAAATAAATAAATAAACGAAAGATTCTTTGTAACAAAGACTGTCTTCCACATACATGGTCTCTACCAGAATTTAGACATAATCACCTTCAGCTGGAACTGTTGCTAAAATTATCATTGGTTTTCCTCCCCATTATTTTTGTTTGTTCCAATTTATCCTAAGCATTTTCAAAACTAATGGTTTTTCTTTTTAAAAAATTGGGGTTGGCAGGTGGTGTGGTGATTAAGGGCACTGGACTCCCACATGGCCGATCATGGTTTGAGTCCCAGACCTGGTGGCTAGCTTTCTCACTTTCCCGCTCTCTCCCTCTCTCTCGCTCTGTCTCTCTCTGGTCAAATTTAAATAAATAAGTTAAATAATTTTTTTTAAAAAAATTAATAACTATATGGGGGCCAGCAGATGGCACAGGGGTTGTGTCAGTGGACTCCCACATGACTGACCACAGTTGGAGTCCTAGACTAGTGGGAGAATGGAGAAGGGATTGCAGTGTGGCCATCCCTCCTGGGGGCATGGGCCCTGAGGCAAAGACCTCTACCCCAAAAATAAAAATATTTTAAATTAATTTTTAAAATTAAACTAATAATTTTGGGCCGGCAGGTGGCGTGGTTGAGGGCACTGGACTCCCACATGGCTGACTGCAGTTCAAATCCTGGACCTGGCAGCTTGCTTTCTCACTTTACTTCTCTGGTCAAATTAAAATAAATAAAGTCAAAGTAATTCTTTAAAAAATTAAATAATTTAATAGTTGTTAAAAAGAGGCTTCCCGTAACTTTGTTACTTAAAAAAATTCTCAGTGTGCCTTTTTCAGACTTAAGCCTCTGCTTACCTTATTTCCTCTGACTAAAATTTCCTTACATTTCTCTGTCTTGTTGGCTTTTAAGATGGACAGATATCTCTCTACAGTTATAAAATTTTTTCCTTTGAACTGTCATTGCCCTATTAGAGCTATAAGTAATTACATTATTTATTGTATGTCATTTTTGTCACTAAACCCAGATCACAAACCGAAGGTGGGCCAGCCAGTGACGTACATGGCTCACTCTGCGGCTTGGTCAGTGAGTCAGCAGCCTAGTGCCTGCATGAGTACCCAACATCCCCAGGGAAGAAGGGAGAAAGGATTGTGGGAGGCCATGCCCTCTGGGGGTTGCTTTCTCACATTCCTTCCCTGGCTAGCACAGGCACCCTATAGCAAAATAATAATTTAAACAACCCTTCTCTGAGGGCAGGGTGCATTCTCCTTATTTTTCTTTAGTTTTAAAGTGTCTTGTGCTCTTCCAGCCCAACACCTAGTGAGAATCTATCTGCATATGAGGTGGGCCTGGCTTTGCTCCTTTAACTGAAGAGCCTCTGCTCCAGGCCTCTCCTTCCAGCCCAACACCTCGTGAGGTAGGCTGTCTCTGTCTTCTTTCTGTCTCTGACTCACTCTCTTCCTCCCTCTCTTGAGAGTTTTTTTTTTTTTTTTTTTTTGGAGAGATTTTCACTGTAGGGCGCGTGCGCTTGCCAGACAGACAGAGACATAGAGACAGAAAGCGAGAAATCACCCCCCAGGGGGGATGGGTCACGCCGCAATCCCTTCTCCATTCTCCTCTAGGGATCTTGGGCACGCACGCACACGTGCCCAGCGTGAGTTTTAAGCCACCGGGTCCGGGACACGAACCGCGGTCGACTACGTGGGAGTCCAGCGACATAGCCATTACGCTAACTGCTGGTTCCCGAGTTGTTGTTTTTTTTTTTTTTAAATATACTGCTTTAAAATCTGTAAGTACTACCTCTTGTCTCTGATTGCTCCTTTATCTTGCTAATTTCAGAACCATCTGCATCTGAGGTGTGGGCCTAGGCCTGGCCCTGCTCCTTTGTGTGGTGCACAAGTGCACCACATGGTTTTCTTTCTTTCTTTTTTTTTTTTTTTAAATTTTTCCCCTTTTTATTGGTGGTTTTTGTCTTTTCCCCTTTTTTAAATTTTCTTTAACCTTTCTCACTTTGCTTCTCAGCTTCCACACATTGAGTGTCTAGACACGTCTAGGTACACAGTAGCAAAACCTCTGAATACTTTTAGGGTCCTAGAATACCTCAACCCCCACTGAACTGCTACAGAAAGGGAGAAACTCATCTTCATAAATCTGAATTTAGATCTCTTTCTGTGGATACCACATTGCAAAACACAGTAGTAGAGGAGAAACTGGCATAGAAGCACCTCACAGTAAGGTGACGTGTACGAGCAGAAACCTCCAACAAATGAGCCAAACGTGCATATATCACCAAATGGCTAAATACCAGAAGAGACTGCAAAGTGAGCAGCAGGGAGAAATACAGAGTTGCAGAGAGCGCAGCTCATCTCCCTCATACACCTCTGAATTCTCCATTGAAACCCGGCAGCTCAGCTCAGGTGCACCTGTTCTTTAGAAACTGGAAGGCCTTTGTAATAGCCAGTTCCATCAACAAAAATACACATTGCTTGGTGATTATCAGGGAAACAAAACTGCAAAGATATTGTAGGTCATCTTCTGCAAGCCTCTAACGTTAAGAACTCCAAGAAAGGGAACCAGCAGGTAGCGTAATGGCTATGTCGCTGGACTCCCACGTAGTCGACCGCGGTTCGCGTCTTGGACCCGGTGGCTTAAATCTCACGCCGGGCGCGTGTGCGTGCGTGCCCAAGATCCCGAGAGGAGAATGGAGGAGAAGGGATTGCGGCGTGACCATCCCCCCTGGGGGGTGATTTCTCGCTTTCTGTCTCTATGTCTCTCTCTGTCTGTCTGGCGAGCGCACGCGCCCTATAGTGAAAAAACCTCTCCAAAAAAAAAAAAAAAAAAAAAGAACTCCAAGAACAGTAGGAAGAAATGTATAATCCATCACATGACCACAAAACATCACAGATGCACAAGAAATATGAGAAACCAAAATAATCTATCTCTAAGGGAAAAGAACAGCCCTTCATCATCTACAGACAGTACAATGGAATGCATGGAAATGTCAGGTGAAGAATTTAGAATGTTGGGACCAACAGTTAATGTAATGGCTATGTTGCTGGACTCCCATGTAGTTGACCGCGGTTCGTGTCCTGGACCCGGTGGCTTAAAACTCACGCCAGGCATGCGTGCGTGGGCATGCCCAAGATCCCAAGAGGAAAATGGAGGAGAAGGGATTGTGGTGTGGCCATCCCCCCTGGGGGGTGATTTCTCGCTTTCTGTGTCTCTGTCTGGAGCCGCCCCCTAAAGCGAAAACCTTTCCAAAAAAAAAAAAAAAAAAGAACTTAGGATGTTTATGTTTATGGTGACACAGCTAACTGAGATGCAAGAGAAAAACGAGTTCCAGCAGGTGAGAAAGTTCTTGCACGATCTGAAAGAGGAAATACCGTGGAAAAGAATCAAATGGAACTGTTAGAGATGAAGCCTGTAATACAGGAAAACAAAACTTCCTTGAAAGTATTAAAAGTAGATAAGGGACCAGCAGTTAGTGTAATAGCTATGTCGCTGAACTCCCATGTAGTCGACTGTGGTTCGAGTCCCGGACCCAGTGGCTTAAACTCACACCAGGCGCATGTGCGTGCATGCCCAAGATTCTGAGAAGAGAATGGAGAAGGGATTGCGGCGTGGCCATCCCCCTGGTGGGTGATTTCTCGCTTTCTGTCTCTGTCTATAGTGCACATGCCCTATAGCAAAAACCTCTTCCAAAAAAAAAAAGATTAGAGCATGTAGAAAACCAAATCACCAGATGTAGAAGACAGAACCTCTGACCTAGAAAAATTCACCAAAAAGACAGAAAATAACCCCCACAAAATGAGAATAATATATGAATAATAATAATACTAGATACAATTAGATGCCCAAACATTTAGATACTAGGTATCCCAAATGGTGAAGAAACTAATCAGGGCATTATAATCTATTTCATAAAATCCTCGGGACAACTTTCCAAACCTAGAGAGGCATTCAAATATAGAGACCCAAAAAATACACAGGCCCCCACATAGAATCAACCCAAGATTTTCTCCAAGGCACATCACAGTCAGTTTGACCAAAACCATAGACAGGGACGAGATACCAAAATTGGCAAGAGATAAATGTCAAGTTACCTACAGAGGATATCCCATCAGGCTAACATTGGATCTCTCATTAGAAACAATGAGAGCAAGGAAAGAATGGGAAAATATATCTAAAGTGTTAAGTGAAAAACAATTTCAACCAAGAACACTATACCCGGCAATATTATCCTTCATATGGGAAGAGACAAGAACATTCTCAGATAAACAAAACCTGAAAGAATTTACCAACACCAAATCAGTTCTTTAAGTTCTCAAGGGAGTGCTATACCAGAAAAACTGAAGACAGAAATAAGAGAACAAAATAAGACCAAGAAAATGCCAACTTAATGGTAAGGCCACGTTCAGAATTATCAATAATAATGTTGAATTATCAATAATAATGTTAATTTCCAGGATTTAAATGGAAAGACTAAACCACAGTAATACTGCAAATTCAACAAAAAAGAAATTAATTACATGAGGCTGAACTAGGGAGTTTTCATTAAAACATTACCAATTTTCTTCTATGCTTTGTCTTCCAGATCTAATGATTTTTGTTTTCTTTTGAATTGGTGACAGGTTTAGCAATTTAACTTTTTTCTTTCTTTTAAAAAATATGGAACGCTTCACGAATTTGCGTGTCATCCTTCTGCAGGGGCCATGCTAATCTTCTCTGTATCATTCCAATTTTAGTATATGTATTGCTGAAGTGAGCACAATTTTTAAAAATTGAAACATAGGGAACCAGCAGTTAGCGTAATGGCTATGTTGCTGGACTCCCACATAGTTGACCGCGGTTTGTGTCCTGGACCCGGTGGCTTAAAACTCACGCTGGGTGCGTGTGCGTGCGTGCCCAAGATCCCGAGAGGAGAATGGAGAAGGGATTGTGGCGTGGCCATCCCCCCTGGGGGGTGATTTCTCGCTTTCTGTCTCTATGTCTCTCTGCCTGTCTGGTGAGCGCACGCGCCCTATAGCAAAAACCTCTCCCAAAAAAAAGAAAAGAAAAGAAAAATTGAAACATAATCTTTTCTCCCTTCCGGACCCCTTTGCAATTGGAAAATATTTGTGAGCATCCTTATTTTGTGGCAGAATAGTTATTTGCATAAGTTCAATAATACAATAGTATCTGTTGCCTTGCATCAGAAATTGAATTCTTACAGGGCTTTGAGCAAATAACAGACCAAATTGAGAATAAACTTATTATTTCTGCAATTAAGTTAGTTTATACTTCTCTCTAATAATAGGGAATGGAGAGAGAAAAAAAAGTTTCAGAAGAAAATTACAGTTCACTTGTCACTAGATCTGAGCTTTGTCCATACTTTTAGTTTAATTAAGATCTGTGAATCAATAAAATGTGAAAAAATAAAGTTTAGTATGGGAGGGAGGGGAAAGGGGAAGAAGAAAAAGTAAAAGTACAGGGGTTGGCAGGTGGTGTGGTGGTTGGGGGCCCTGAACTCCCACATGGCGGACCCTGATTCCAGTCGAGTCTCGGACCTGGCAACTTGCTTTCTCACTTTACCTCTCTCTCTCTCTCTCTCTCTCTCTCTGTCCCTCTCTGGTCAAATTTAAATAAATAATTCCTTTTAGAAAAAGTGGAAGTCTTTTTTTTTTTTTTTTTTTTTGAGAGGTTCTTGCTATAGGGCGCATGTGCTCACCAGAAAGAGACAGGCAGAGACAAAAGCGAGAAATCACCCCCCAGGGGGGATGGCCACACCGCAATCCCTTCTCCATTCTCCTCTTGGGATCTTGGGCACGCACGCACACACACGTGTTCAGCGTGAGTTTAAGCCACAGGGTCTGGGATTCGAACCGCGATAGACTACATGGGAGTCCAGTGACATAGCCATTATGCCAACTGCTGGTCCCCTAAAAGTACATTTAACTGACCAAAAATGAGAAGCTACTTGCTAATGACAATGTATATAGTAATATCTTTGTCTTGACTAATATGCATGGTAATCGTGCTGGAAAAAAATGTTGTACAGTGTAAAGATATATGTGATTAAATGTAAATACAAATTTAAAAAGGTATTTTGTCAATCAAAGGCAAATTGTTACCAGAATCTTACTGGACATATTAATGTAATAATGTGTGTCCAGTAAGAGCTTAATGTTCTAAGTAGAGACAGGGAAACTACAGTAACAGCTTGTTACTCAATGTTGCAGCCTCAAGTATTGACAGTATCCAACTAGGAGGATAGGGAACCTCAAAGATGGCTGGAAGAGAGCACATGCTTTCGCCACGTGGCTGTGACATCTCAGCTGCTAGGACGCGGGACACACGTTTCATACAAACCGTTTACCTAAAGGTTGGGCACAAATTCCTCAGCAAACTTCCTGCGGGCAGATCCAGGTATCCCATTTTAACACTATTAATAATGCAGGAAACTTTTGGGAAATGCTCTGTAGGGCTCGAAGCCGCAAGTCACGCCCGTGCCTTCCACCCTGGGAGCCGCTACCCCTACACGGATCCCAGCGGCGCACACTACGACCCTCAGGCTTGGAGACACGTGCTTACTGGAGGGCCCCGTCATGTGACACTGGCAGCCCCCCCCCGCCTGACATCCTCAAGGATGCCTGACACTGTCCTTTCTTTAGAGACAGTCGGTGGCCCTCTGCTATGGAAGAGAGCGAGAGCTTGCCTTTGCTGGCCGTGCCTCCGGGCCTCCCCTTCCCGCCCCAGCCCTTCCCCCGCAGTCCTTTGTCCGTTCTGTTCAGGCGATTACCAGGGCAGCCCCGGCTCGGGCGGGGCTTTCGGGAC